CAACCTTCTTATTGGATCATAATATTTCCCCCTGCCTCATATTCTGTTATCTTTACAGACCACTTCCATATCCCGGAAAACAATATCGATATGACTGAATATCGCGTACAGATTTACGGAGATTTTAATCTGCCAAAGGTTGACTGGCCTTCTGGTATCATTAACAGTGAAAGCTCATGCACGCGTCAAAAGGCGTCCTGCTTGTTTTTGTTTTTCTAAAGGATTAGGTCAATTTAAATTTTTTTTTCGCAGCAGAACATGTTTGCGAAGTGCTTCGGTAATATTCCGAATCTAGTTGTACCTACATTTCATGTCGCGGAAGTGACTGGCAGAAGTAACCCGCAAGTAAATGCTGATGCTTACCACCATCCGCTCGCCATCTTGTTTTCAATGTCTTTAAGGGTGATACCACCTCGCTTCGTGCTTAGATATACGTACGGTCTGGTTGATTATTTTGGGCCACTTAAATATTTTATGAAATATTATTGGAGCATTATTTCACAAAATTCGGATGTTGATTTAATGGCGGACGGTTTTGGATCAGTAGTCAATGAAGCAATGAATAAGTTTATTCCTAGGCACTTTTAACGTCCCGAGAAGTATCTGAAATGGCTCTTTAAGGATCTACGACATTACTTAAGGTTAAAATTGCATTACCGTAGATAGTATAAAAAGACGAAACTTGACTTCTGGTAGGAAAAATATGGCATATGCCGTGAACTAAGAAAGAAGCTCCTCGTTAATGACCAGTATATGTATCGTAAGCAAGTGGAGCTGAACTTAAACAAACGACCTGAAGTATTCTGGCGCTTTGTAAAGAAGCATACCAGGAAGGAGTCGGGCAATATAACGCTGCGCATAGGATCTTGTATTCATGTGTCCCCAAACTCTGTTTTCGAGCTGTTTTCACATCACTTTAGTTCATGCTTTTCTAGTGTCAACACCAGTTCGCCTATGACATGGGGGTCTGATGACCATTTGCCTCTTGCGAGAATTACGGTCGATGAGGGGCTCTCGGCTGTTGGAAAACTTAATTCTAAATTATCGACCGGCTGCGATATTATTCCCAATTTTATTGTGAAAGGCTGCTGCGAATATTTCGCTCTTATTCTTGCGAAGTTGTCATACTTCTGGCTGCAAACCGATGTATTTCCAGACAACTGGAAATATTTAATTCTTATCCGAATTTTTTAATATGATATTTCTAGTGAGGTCACCAATTATCGTCCTATATCTATTGGAAATTCATTCTCAAAAGTATCAGAAAAGATGATGTACAACCGCCTACATAATTATTTTAAACGCAGGGTAGTTTCTATACAGCATGGGATTCTAGCAGGAAGATTCGTTGGAACGAAATAATTCACATTTCCTAATTATTTTATGCCAATTGTTCATAGCTAAGGTCCGGTAGATGCAGTATATTTGAATATGTCGAAAGCCTTTGACAAGGCCAATCATGCATTGCTATTTATGAAACTTGGGAACTATGGACTTGGCCCTGAATACATTACCTTGTTCGGGAGCTATCTACATGAAAGACAGAACTGTGTTAGGGTTTCTGGCTAGTTGTCACAACCTTTCGTGTCTATTTCGGGTGTACCTCAGGACTCGAATCTTGGTCCGCTGTTGTTTATTATTTTTAGAAATGACCTGTTGTCCTCCGTGAAACACTCGCAGGTGCTAATGTTTGCTGACGACGTTAAACTGTCTCGGCTGGTGAACATCATCACTGACTGTGCTTTGCTGCAAGATTCCTATTCAGTACAAAGATGGTGAACTCTGAACAATTTAGTTTTGAATCCCCGCAAAACCTAAGTGATGTCTTTTGCGAGTAAGCGAAGCACATTATCTTATAAGTCCTGTCTGGGAAATGAAGCTGTAAGTCGAACCACAATAGTTAAGATCTAAAGGGTTTTGTAGATGGTCACCTTTTAGAGCGCAGCTCTTAGGGGCCCGTTCCCGGCTTGAGCGGCGTCGCCGTCGGCGTCGGCGTCGCCGTCGCCGTCGCCGTCGGCGTCGGCGTAACCGCAACCCTCGTAACCCTCGTGAGGGTTACGAGGGTTAATCTCATGAGGGTTATCCTCACGAGGATCACGAGGGCCACGAGGGTTACTTACCCTCGTAACCCTCACGAGGGTTACGAGGGTTAGTTACCCTCAAAAGGGTTACCTTCACGAGGGTTACCCTCACGAGGGTTACTTACCCTTGTAACCCTCACGAGGGTTACGAGGGTTACTAACCCTCGTGAGGGTAACCCTCGTGAGGGTAACCCTCGTGAAGGTAACCCTTTTGAGGGTTACGAGGGTTAGTAACCCTCGTGAGGGTAACCTTCACGAGGGCTACCCTCACGAGGGTCACGAGGGTTATGAGAGTTACCCTCACGAGGGTTACTTGCCCTCGTAACCCTCACGAGGGTTACGAGGGTTAGTAACCCTCGTGAGGGTAACCTTCACGAGGGTTACCCTCACGAGGGTCACGAGGGTTATGAGAGTTACCCTTACGAGGGTCACGAGAGTTACCCTCACGAGGGTCACGAGACTTACCCTCACGAGGGTCACGAGAGTTGCCCTCACGAGGGTTACTAGGGTTACCCTCACGAGGGTCACGATGGTTACCCAGGTCAAGTGACCCCCCCTGGGGTCACGTGACCTGGGGATACCCCCGAGGTCACGTGACCCCCGTTGACGTCATAGCCACTGATGACGTCATCAGTGACGTCACTGATGATGTCACCGGCATCCGCATCGTCATCGTCATCATCACTGATGAGGTCATTAGTGACGTCACTGATGACGTCACCGGCATCCGCATCGTCATCATCATCACTGATGGCGTCATCAGTGACGCTACTGATGACATCATCGGTATCGTCACGTGGCCCCAGGTCACGTGACCCCCGCGACGTCACGTGACGCCCCAAGGTCACGTGACTCCCACAAGGTCACGTGACCCCCAAGGTCACGTGACCCCCCGCCCCCGAGGTCACTTGACCCACCCCCCAGTACCCTTCCCTCCTCCTCCTCAAGAGCTGCGCTCTAATTCGGCGTTACAGGGAGTTGTAAACGGCTTTCATTTTTTTTTTAATTCTCACGTGAATTCCATTGTTAGCCAGAGTCTGCGCATGTTGGGAATAATAGCCCGCCTAACTAGACCATTTGGCACTTATCAATATCTGTAGCGACTCTTCAGTACTCATGTACGCTCTAAACTTGAATTGCATCTGTCATTCTGAACTCTATCTCTAGTACAGCGTGTGAAAAAAAATTTACCATATACAAAAACGATTTGCGCGGATTGTCTACGACTGATATTTTGGTCGCAAATGTTATTTTGAATGTAATTTAATTTTATCCAAACTAAAATTGTGCAGTCTACATAACAGGAGGTCCGTCCGGAATGTTAAGTTTTTGCACAAGTTGGTTCATGGGTCCATAGACAGTCCTGCACGTCTTACCTCCTTACACTTCCGCATTCCTGTCAGTACAAACTCTAGAAATCGCAGATTCTTTTACCCAGATATTCATAGTAACTTGTCACCGCTCTCACGAATTCAACATGTTTTAAACACGAAGTTTTGTAACGATGATATTGTTCTACAAAAGTGCCCCTTTTTTGTATAGGGTTGCTCTAAAATTGCCAAAACTGTTTGCATGTGTGTTAATGTGAGGCATATGTGTAAGTTATAAAACATGTGTATAGTATGAAGCATGTAAATTTGTGATGAATATGTATTTTACGCTTCGTGCTTTACCGCAAAGGCATATGAGCTGTTGGTAAGCACGTGAAAAACATTGAATTGAAATATTATCATTATTAATATCATTATAATCATAATTATTATCAGTATTATTATAATTATTACTGTTATTACCCCTTTACTGTTCACTGTGTCGCTCGCAGCTAGACTATACGTCGGTGGTGTGGAACGGAATGAGTAAAACCAATTCACTGAGAATTGAACGCGTGGAGCACAGACTCATCTCAATTTTCAAGTATCGCTATTTGGCTAGACATGAGGAAACCTTTAATAAGAAAGCCCTTTCGGAACCTGTTGGCTTACCTGACCTACATCCACGTACAGAATAGGCAAAATTGGTATTTTTCTTTAAAACCCTTCACAGCCTGATTGACTCGCCAAGACTCTTAACTGAAGTGCATATTAGGATCCCTGGAGTACCTACAAGACTCAATTCACTTTTTTATAGTTCTAGAGAATTTAGTCATTTTACCCAATTCCTAGATTATTTAATTTTTACAACGGTTACGAATGAAAGCTGGAGATATTTGACTCCCGTCGATAGAATTTTGACCACTCAATGAAAAACCTGTTCCAATGAAGGCAGAGCTGAAAGGTAATCAGATGTTACAGTGAATCGCCCGCGATTTTTTATTCCCTGTTGTGATTTTGTAGACTCATATTTTTACTCTTGAAGCTCACGTAGGAAGACATTTTACTATCACTTTTTAACTACCCTATAATGATTAGAAATGGTATGAGGGCTACATGGCCACTAATATTTGCAAGAAATTTGTCAGTTTTCAATTTCTTTTTTCTTCTCTCTGCGTGATGTACTCCCCCGAATATATATATATATATCATCTTCACGGCGCACCAACGTATGAGCTTCTAATTTGAATATTTACCTTCTAATTTGATGTGTCCCTGATTTTGACGTTTGTGTGTTTTTGTCTAGTTATATTTGTCACGTTTTATATTGTAATGCGAGTGTGCTCCGCGTTTATAAGCGTTTGAATGTCCGCTGTGCCAGTGTCGAGATCAAACGGTTGTTCCTGCACACCCAATAAAATTGATTGATTGATTATTATTACTATTACTTTCTTTTTATAATTTTTATATTGTGATTAATATTAATATTATGATTGTTAATAATATTTTATTAATTTTTTTATGCAACGAAAGGCGAATTCTCCATAATATATTTTCACGAGCCTCCATGACTCCGGATGTGATGTTCGGTTTTGCAAAAGGTCCTTACTTTTTGGTGTCTTCCGCTTCCGACCTCGGAGCCGCCCCGTCGTCTTCTTCCGCGTCTTCCATTTCGCTGAAACAAACACAGGCTGCATGAATTCTTTGCACAGTCGACGGCGCCAGATTCGGCGCCAGATTCGGCGCCACGCCCGTAAGGCGCCGCGACTCTCTCGACCCAGAGCGACGAGCACGGCAAAGGTAATTACAATATCATTGACAAGAACAGCAATAACCGTACGTGATATCCCTGCAAGATATGATCAGCATGCGGCTAGCAGCCGCCATTAATATTTACCAAATACAACATCAAGCGGCGTGTATATACAGAATTCGTCCGGCGAGAGCTCGGATTAGTAGAAGGATTAATGCGTACGGCTCGAGTCTCTCAAACTGGGAGGCGACTCGCGGAAGAAACCTGAACTCGTGCTGACAGTTCGCCTTTGCTAGCATCCCTTTGTTCACAAAATAGCAATTTTTCTTGAGGAGCAAGCTTAATGGTTCGTTTATCCTTGGTACAAATTGTTGCCTCCGAAGCGAATTCGACTGCAGCAAAACCCCCGAGGTGTCTACAGCTATGTCTGCCGCCGGCGGCCCTTCTGTAGGTTAGTCTCGGAGCGTCGCGTCTACGACGAGAAGGCGGGTGAAGTTTCGTTTCGTCGCCCACTCTCGGGAAACTCTCGGAGTACATCCGGTACGCGTATCCCCTTTTTACGGATTCCCAGTTTGAGGGTTCTTTGGTGCGGAGCTCCGTGCGCGTGGCACGAGTGATTATTCCTTTCCAGTAGGGATTCGTTTCAGCTTGAGTCCAGACGCACTCTACGAGCTGATGGCACCAATCATACAGCGGCAAAAGCGCACCATCACGGTGTTCGCTTCTATACGTGTTTATTTATTTATTTATTTATTTAAAATACCATCAAGGCTATCGCCATTACAGAGGGGAGTGGGGTTTAGCGGCAGCACACACTTTTCAATTCAATCTGGGCAGTATAGATTATTTATGGCAGTTCTAAATAAGTGGTCAAGAACAATTATTGCGATAGATGCGGGAATGTGGCTCCAATCCACTCAAGTGTTTAGAATGAATGACTCTCAAAGTGCATTAGTGTTACATTTTAGAATGTCTACTTCATACATAGGATCAATTTGTGACAAAATATAATTTGGATGATGCAGCACCCGGTTGTGAAGGAATGAGTTAGTATGTTATATCTCATGAAAGAGACATAAGCGAGCTATTTTGCGACGTAAAGTGAGGTTAGGCAACGATAGGCTAGTTTTCATGAAGCTCACACTTGCGGTGCAATGAAAGCTATTAGAAATAAAACGAGCAGAGTGATTCTGAATTGATTCCAGGGTGTTAGTTAGTTTGGAATGACCGGGGTCCCAGATAGAAGAAGCATATTTTAATTTAAAGCGTACAAACGTTTTGTACAGGGTTAGTTTCAGAGATGACGGGGCAAGTAAAAAGTTCCGTTTTAGATAACCCAGCATTCAATTAGCGTTATTAATACCATAATCAAAATGCATTTGCCAGGAAATATCTGAGGTTATATACACACCTAAATATTTATAAAAAAAGAGAGAATGTAAGGGGACATTTTCGAGAAAATAAAAAGAAGGAACATTACTTTTCCGCGATACTCTCATGGCATTGCATTTAGTCGTGTTAAGTTCCATCCCCCATAATTCACACCATTTTGAAACATGGTTAATGTCAGCTTCTAAATTCAGAACATCCCCCGAGGCATTAGTAACTTCTATTTAAATACCACAATCTTCAGCGAATAAACTAATTGAAGAAGATGTCGAAACATCCAACCACCCTCAAACTTGAACAAAGGAACTCTTTCCCTACTATTCTATACACAGTTCATACTTCTGAATTATAACGCGCCCTCTCTACAAAAAGAAAAAAAACTGCATAAGTCAGGCTTCACTACAGTTTGGAAGATATCGAATTCGGCAAATCGTTAATATAGATAACCCTTAGCAAAAAGAAGCTTTACTTGAAACATAGTTGAAATATATTGAACGTGCATATTCATTTTGCATTATTTTTTCCACATTCGACATACGCGCGTAAGGTATTCAAAATATATAATAATTATTAACCAGAAGAGATTTTAGATATACCAAAAACATAATTCCTTCCCCTCAGGATGCGTTGTGTACTAAAAACCGGCTACAGACTTTTTATATATTTGTTTTATTTTGGATTTTGTTAGTAAATGGTGTCCTTGTGGGATTTTAAAGGTACTACTACATACATCCCACAACTACACGTTAGAAACGAACACAAACACAAACACCGTGACGCACTGAACACCTGAATCACAGTCCCGTTGACTGCTTCAGAGCCTTATATAGCCTACATATTGAAGGTAATCATTTGGCCGATGACCATCTCTGCACTTATTAAGGTTTCAAGTATTCGATCTTCTCCTCGGGAGTCTGTCAAAGGGAAAACACTGTTTTGGAGTTCGTGGACGATATCTCTTACTAAAAAAACAGTGGTACAACTAATAATAATTCGGCGCAGACGCTAAAACAATCTCTACAAAAACGTCTCCTAGAAGAAATTTTATTGCTTCTGTGCATAGCACCGCTCAGGACGCAGCTAGTCAAGGCAGTTTCTTTACTTTAAAAAACGTATTTTGCTTTTCTTTACTAGTTGACTACTTAACGTGGTCATTAACGTCACTATATTAAAGTCACAACTCACATCACGTACAATGATGCATGAGTATACACATTCAGTGAACTGACATTTTGCTAACACAACCACGCCAAACATATTTGCTCACAGCACTTGCTGAAGCTTTGCAGCATCAGCAGGTGTTGTGGTTGCTGTTCCCAAACCCCGTTTGTGATTGGTGTGCAAGAAACTCATCAGGTGTGTTCTTGATGGAAAAAAAAACACAATAACATAAACTGGGCTGATTTATCAGTGCGATGCTGCACTAACTAAATTGACAAACTAATCAAATGTTGTATGTATAGGAGCTTCAGTGCACTCAACATCTGCTTGAAGTGAAATTCTGATAGGCGAGCTTTTCAATACTTTGGTAGGTTAAGTCAAACAACCAGAGTATTGCAGTCAAAAGATAATTAGAGTAGAACACAACAGTATTTATGATTCCCAGGTATTTTAAGAGTTTACTGCGCATATTTTGACCACTGCATTTTTATTGGGGTTGGAGTATATTTTTCGTGAAATAAATTAATATGTTAAGAAATCTACGTGAAAGGTATTTTGTGCCTACTAATTTAGTATTTACATATTTCAGAACGCAGCAAGAGTACTTCACCTGTAGTTTAGATAAAGATATTTTTAAAAGATTTTTCAGAAATACATTTTAGTAAAAACAGTTAGGGCGCAGGCGAGCTGGTGTAAGTTTACCATTTTTTTAGACCACCTGAGACTGGGTGGAAGAAACACGACGAACGTCTCAAACACAGCTAACCACTTTATTCAGTTTTCCCTCCTTTTATACATCCTGATCCAAAAATCGTCACCATAAAAAAACAGTCCAAACAAAGGCACCAAGGGGACATTTTAGTACTAGGTAAAAAAAAAATAGTGTATATTTTCAGCATATTTTTTTGTGTACTTACAATTATGAACCGTACTTGAAATACACTCAAATTAGAATGTGGTATATTTAAAACGTCTTAGTTTTCTCTAACGGTAACGAACAATAGCGGACCTAATACTGAACCTTGTGGTACTCCAGAATTGACGGAGGTGAGTGGTGATGTTTCATCGTTTAAGGTTACAAACTGGGAACGATTAGTGAGAAAACAAGTTATCCAGGACAGAACATTTGCGTCAATGTTAAGACTGTTAAGTTTTAATTGTAGCAGCTTGTGTGAAACTTTGTCGAATGCTTTGGAAAAGTAAAAGAAAAAATGCAGTCTACTTGGGACCCTCGGTCAAGCGCTAGATGCAAATCATGGGTGAATGACAAAAGTTGCGTTTCGCAAGAGAAGGATATACGAAAGTCATGCTGAGCGGTGCTGAAGAAAAGGTCAGATTCTAAAAATTTAACTAGTTGTGAGTAGATGTTATGTTCTGGTATCTTGCAAGGAATGCTATAGTAAGCGAAATTTATCGATAGTTATCCGGGCAATATTTTTCATCTCCTTTGTGGAGTGGCAAAACCTTTCCTATCTTCCAATCAGCAGGCAACTCTCCAAGTGAAGGCGACTGGGAAAAATTTTGAGATAATATCGAAGAACATTACATTTTTGTGTGTTTGAGGAACTTTGAGTTAAGGGGTTATGACACGAAAATTAAACGGATAGATTATTCTTGAAATGGAATGCTCATAGACTACTTAGTATATATACCAAGTTACGCGATTTTTAGAGCTCTGGTAATTGCAATATTCAATTTACGAATCTTTATCATTTTCATCTGACGACCAGGCAACACTACAGAAGTTAATTCACACCATGGTGTCTATAAACCACGTGACGATGAAGGCTCTCTCATTCTAGGCGCCCCATGATCGCCCAAGCTCTCCTCGCCGCGGTACGATCAAAACCGCTCACGGAACTCGGTAACCCGAACGCTATTCTCGCTCTCGCCCTGGGTCCGTTGACCTTCCACCCTGCATACACCTGCGAGATATTCCCGGACGACGGTGACCACGACGAGTTCGTCCGTAACTCGTCGTCGCTGGAGCTGGTCGCCAGCGGGTCGCAGTAAAATTAAACAGCTTCCAACGTCTGTGGGATTTTCCTTGCTGCCACCCGTCCCGGAGAATGACACAGCACACCGGTTCAACAACACGTAAACATTTAATGAGCGCGATCGCCTGCGCCGCGATCCCAACCGCCCCCGCGCATCCGCTGCGACGGCCTTTTATCAGCGGCGGAGCGCCGCTCGCGCGGCCAGTTGCCCTTGGCCCCCTCTTGGTCAAGATGACCACTCATGATTGTCGGAGGGGCAGCCTGGGCCAACCGCTTGGAATCGCCAGGTTGCCCAAAAATCTCATGATAGCAATCACTCTCATCGCTGCTGCGATCAATGTCGACCACTTCGACAAGGCGACCGATGCCGTAGACGTAATCATCACGGACCGCATGCTCGCAACGTGGAAGGTAAACGAAGAAGCTGAAGCTCAAGACGCCGAGAGAGCCAAGTCTGTGAGTACGTGCAAGAGGACGCCGTGCGTGAGGCTGGCTACATAGCCAGCCTCCAGCTCCGGCCGAATTCGCCCTTTCGAGGGACCCGCATATAAATCGATTTATTCACGAAACTATCGCGCGATTTTAGAAACACGTTTAGCAGGCGTACAGGAACATACAATGGGTCCTAGCAGTATGGTTAGCTCATATTTTATTTTTGGCGTGTCATAACCTTTTTAATGCTGTTGGTGCCAGCATTGTAGAAAGTTTTAAGTTATCGAATATTTTAACAATACCAACAGCATCGACAAGAACGGGTCCCATAGGCAGAAAATCACTCGCATCAAATCTACAAGTAGGCGTGTTAATAAGAGTTTGAAACGACTTAATAAAAACATCATTCAAAGCGCGAGCACTATCATCGCTAGGAAGGATACCTCCGTTCGCGGCCTTGTGTGAAATTACGAATTTTCCTTTTTTACTAACAACAGTACAAAACTGCTTTGGGTAAGTGGCTAACACAGACAGTAGCTTAACTTTAAAGTACTCGTATTTCGTATATTGATTAGCATTTTTGTAAACTGCATCGGCGTTGTGAGAAGACTCCCACCGTTTACAGGTACTGGAAGATTTGGCGGCGCGAAACAATATATTTTTCTTGTTCGATAGCCTTCTCAGTGATGGGTTATACCACGGTGATTGAGGGTGAGACGCTACAGATCGAAATTAAATGTACTTGCCGTTGAGGACGGCGACTTGACCCTTAAACATATCCCAGTACTGCTCAACGGGACGCTCGGAGCAGTTAACAAATAGTGATCAACGAACTGCTTAGGGCATCGTTTATAGCGTCGAAATTAGCTTTTCGGTACTCTCGAATAAGCTTTATCTTTTTTGTACTATTACACTTTGGTATGCTTAGAGAGACAAGAAACGAGCAGTGATCACTTAGTCCTGGTAGATCAGGTATTAGGGATACGAGGTCAGGCGTGGAGGTTAGAACGAGGTCAAGAACATTTGCTGACGTGGCTGCAATTCTTGTAGGTTCTGTAACTAGCTGCGATAAGTTAAAATCGGAACACGTGTTTAAGAAATCAAAACACTCCGGCGAAAATGGATTAGGAAACGGGCTCACGTGCGACCAACAGATATTTGGGCAATTAAAATCACATTAAAGAAATATTGGACTGCTTTTAAACCTTGATACAACCACATTGATAGCATTATGAAGTTCGTTAACAAAACTAGAGGTACACTTCGGCGGACGATAGCAAACACAAAGAATAACTTTTTATAATTCACCTCAAAACAAACGCAGAGAAACTCAATATTTAACGCCAAGTTCACACAATAAAAAACAATACAGTCAGCTACTGCAATGAGTACACCACCTCCAGATCGCAACTGCCTATCGGAACGATTCACGTTAAACCGCTTTGGACAATGGAATATTTCACTGTTCCGTACTGTAGCGGAAAGCCATGTCTCGGTGAGTACCACAACGTCAGCCGATGGCGAGGCAAGGACAGTGCATGACTCATCTCGTTTTCTTAGCACGCTCTTTTTGTTAGTAAAAAAGACATATTTTAAGTTTCTCGGTTGCTATGACGGAGGGAGTTCACTCGCTGACTCAGCAGGGGCGCCAGTGGCTGTACCGGCGAGACTCATCTCAGAAAGAGTCCCGAGCTCGCGCGCACTATCAGTTTCGGAGCAGTAAACATAAACCTTCTTATCAAAATCAAGCTGGTTATACTGTAATTTAAAGTTAATATCAGGATTTATTGCCTTCGCAAAATCGATTAATTTCTTTCGAGCCTGACGTGTAGCTGGTGAAAAATCCTCATTAATAGAAACGCCACTGCCCTTTGCCTTTGTTCTCAACGACAAGATGCACTCTCTAAAATTCGAATTCGCAAACTTTACAATAATTGGCCGGCACTTGTTTCCCAAAAGCATACCTATCCTGTGCGCTCGAGCTATGGCGTCACCTGTGAGCTGCATATTCATTACCCGCAAAAGTACCGCTCTAACCTTCTCCTCAGACTGACTCAACGTTTCTGACGGAACGCCCTCAACTCCGTGAAAAATTAAATGATCCCGTCTCGACCGGCCCTTTATCTCGTCCATGCGCTCACGCAGGAGGGAATTCTCTTTTCTGGCGTCATCAGCAATGCACTGCATCAGCAATTTGATACCCGAATTTCCCGACTTCACAATGCCGGATATCCAATACCCCTATTGGCCTCCATATGTGAAAAATAGGCCGCACTGTCTGGAGGAACAATGTCCACAGTGAAGAACCAGCAAAAAAAAAAGCAAGAAGCCCTTCGCAGAAGTCCGGTATATTCATGGGGTCACCCACAAATGGAAAAAAATAGCAAACTGGCAAAAAGTTCAAGCTGTGTGCGCGGCACCCAATAAGGCTTATTCCTTATGCCACAAGATCACTCAGACACAAACCGACAAGAAAGATATGTATGACACCAGGCACCAGGACAAACTACGTTCCGTTCCAAAAAAGGGAGTCGTTTACAGCATACCGCTGACATGTGGGCGTTTCTAGATGGAACGGCCGGGCACTGCTTAAACGACAGTGCACGTGATCATGTGACCAACGTTAAGAATCTCGCGGGACCAGGAGACCTCGCTGCCCATTGTCGATCTTGCAAATACAAAACAAAGCTTGAGCAGGCCCGCATCATGGGGCAGCATAAAAAACAGCCTGCAAGGAAGATGTTGGAGGCCTTGGCCATAGAAAACGAAGAAAACCGTGTGAGTTGCGCCTCAATAACCCTGCAACCTCAAGATAAGCTCTTCCTGCAGGGCGACCTCCCTGCTCAGTATAAATAGAAGGAAGGGGGCAGCACAATTCAGGATAAAGAAAAAAAAAAAAGCAAAGGGATACGCATAAGATCTAGTAGAAGAGGAGCACGATGACCTTTTCTGTTTTTCCTTCTTTCATTGTTCAGCTGGTTCCACCCGTGATGTATACGTTTGTTTTATTTTATTCACGTTGTGCCCACAGCATTCAAACAGATGGTTGAACGAGCTAAAATTTAAACTTAAAAATAAAGCTAACTGCGACGTTAACTTGTAAATGAACCGAAATGTGATATTCATGCATATTCTATGCACCTTACAACACAATTTTGGACGCTTTAATCCTAGTCATTATTCAAGGATATATTGATAGACGTGCTGCGCTGCGAAGTTCTACAGAACAAACGCATGACCAAAAATTGAAAGGAAAAGGCTGAATTACATTGAGAGGAGGAGAAACACAACGAACACGAATGGGCGCACATACAAGTCTAAGTCCAAGAATATCTGAAAATTTATGTTCCCCATAGTTCGAGATTGACCCCTATAACACATTCTGTGAAGCATTGGAATCCGGTGTACTTCCAACTTCATTTGGTACCCACCTCAGGGTCCAGAGGTTCCTCTTGCCACTCGCCTCGCTCGAAACGTCCGCTCTGGCGTCCATGCTGCCCGCTCGGAAAACAGGGGCGGCTTGGCAATCTGGGCTTAGGAAGGTCAAAATACCCTCAAGACTCGGTTACGCAACTTCGAAAATTATACGCTGTCGCTAAACAGGGCAACTTTTTATATGGGGCCCATATCACTTAAAAAGTCGCAGTAAACGTTCGAGGGCCCTGGTTGTAAGAATAAGCATCCCTGTCAGTAATATTATTTTATAAATCAATCTATCAATCAATGAATTGATGTATTATAGTCTCTTGGTACAACCGATCGATCTTGGTGCTGGCACTTTTTAATGAAAATACTCATACACACAAAATTAACCTCATGTACGGAACATGTCTGACACGGACATAGCAATTTCGAAGTGTGCCTTATGGAAGACAGTAAGCGTCAGTTTTCGCAGCAAGCTGGGGCATTTAATAAGAATAAAAAATACAAGACCGGTGATATTTTTTTACTTTCCTCCTAAACTTCCATTAGTAATACTAATAATAGCACATTATTTCGAGAGTTTAAATTCTGAGAAGTTCCGTGTTGGGACCGTAAAAGCCCATAAAGCTTAGACTGATCCCAAAAAACTAGAATAAAAGTACATACAATGCAAAACATATATAGGAAAATGAGAGACGCGACAGAAAGACTGTCAAAGAATATTAAGTACTGGTCTACACAGAACACACTGTTAGGCTTAGTGTGATGCACCATTTGAGCTTTACTATATGCAAGGGATGATACATAGCATGAGAGGCTCTCGTCCCCCGCGCGCTCGTGCGTGACATTTTAGTGCACAACAAAGAAAAATTGTGGACGCTCATAATCTATTAGGAAAGAGTTGTAACGGTTTACACCCGTACCACACGGCACAAGTTGCCATTTTTCCTCAGTGACATTCACCCCGAATCGCATTTTTGGTGCCACCCGGGAACATTTAACGACACGAGCTGAAAATAATATTTGCTACAAACTGAGTCCCTGTGAACACATTCACAGTTGCTCTCAGACTAAATGAGTAATGCGTTGTGGTAGAGTAACTGTGTATGGATCCACTTCCAAAGGAAGGTACCGCACCGGTTTCAAATTTTGGCCTTCACGTATGTGAAGAGCAAGTCGTCTGCTTCTTGTGAAGGAGCTGATTGCGCTAATTGGCTTTGCGCTAATTGGCTTTGATCGAAAAGATAGTGGTTAGACCTCAATACTAGAAGCCTTAAGTTCCACCCACAATTTTTTTCTCAATCAGCCAATAAGAGCTCAGCGTTCTTACACCCTCGATCCTAGAAAAGAAAAACAGCCCTTGCATGTGCAGGCACGGCCCGACAGTGGGAAATGAGAGCAGCTATGGATGCAATGCGCCACATAGTTGGTTGGAAGCGCCACTGGGTCGGTAACAATCGGCAACAACTTTCTGTGCCTGCAGCCCAAAATGTGCATGGTCACGGCACTCGTTGTCTTATCACCGGCTAGACCAATGACGCGCACAAAAAAGCGCACAATCGTTGCGCATTCTGTGTGTGTGATTGGCTCCATCGGATCACAGCGTTGGCTGAAAGTTAAACGGAGTATAGTTGCGAGCGAGAAACAGGGAAAGGCCCCCGAGACGGAACTCGAAGGTTCGCCTACCTCTTCCGGAGCCCGTCGAGCTGGCGTCCGGCAAAGGGGCCAGCGGTTCAGCGTCGCGGCCACAATGGACTGGGCCTCGTCCCGGACTCTGGTCCCGGCGTACCACTTCAAGGGCCGCCCGTCTTGTGGAGCGGCCTCCATGGCGGCTGGCATGGCATCGGGCACGCTGCGCTGGGGACCACTCTCACCGCAGCACCTGCAAATTACGACCAGATCTGTGAGGTGTTTGTGAGTAGCAGGAAAGTGTACACGATCACCCCACAATTCATCAATATGTTGTCACCCTGGACAATAGATCGCTTACAAGCTATTAATAGATCGTTATGAACCGTTTACGATCGGGGTCATCGCTTGACCTCCCGACGTCACCTGACGCCTGTGGGGGAGAACTGCCGCGAGGTGACGCATCCTGCGCCAAAGGGGTTCCGCCGCGTCGCTTTCTCGCTTGACCCTTCACAATTTCACTGGAATGCAACCGCACCTTGAATCCTACAAACTGAAACCTTCCACGAGAATACATTTATGAAAAGTGAAGCTAGGTATGTGCGGATTTTGATTTTCGGGGGTATCGGTGGCCGAGTGTGCTAGCGCACCCCAGCTCGGAGCACGTGGAGCGAGAGCTCGGGCTGCAGAGCCCAGGGATCCTGGGTTCAGTCCCCACCCCTGCCCGCTTTGATCTTGATGAGCATCGTACCGGCGTGCGGTCGTGTTTTATTACTGCGTGGTACACGTTAAAGACCCCAGGCTAGTGGTTGTACTGCGCTGGCTAAATTTCTCATCTACAGCTGGGGGACTCGTCGCCCGTGGAGACAACATACGCACACCCCAATTTTTTTTTCATATTCCACCTTAATACCAGTCTTACCGTTGATAGTATCCTATACGCGTATATGGTACCTTTATACTCTCTGCATGTGATGGCCTTCCTGTTTATACATCTACTACTCTTACTATTTTTGGTGTCCCAATTTTCAAATAATATGTATTCAAAGAGAATGTGTCAGACCGTATACCCTGGCAAAAATTTCACTGCAAATGTTTGCACACAAACTAAATAGTTAGCCATCGCCACATGATATCTGCATGTCTCGGAAGATTGCTTCTAGCTCTAAAGCATTGCATACAGACCTCTTGTTTATGGCATTATTTTAAGTAATCACAAGGAGCTGTCAAAGCAGTGGCAAGTAGCTTTTTTTTCTCACTTTTAGACAACTGAGGAAGATGCAGCTATAAGCTAAAACATTTTTCAGTCTGTTAGTCCGGAGAGGCGAGAGATAAATTTGTAATGTATGTTAACAGCGCTAGTAAAAGCGGTAAAGATTATTCATTTTATTTGAACAGACTTCTATAAAGTAGGAAAGAACCGTGAAAAAGTAGTGGAGGATACGTCAGACCTGGCAACAGAGGACGAGACAAGCTCCCAGAAGATGAAAAGGAGGCCAGCCGTCTGCTTTCGCCATCAGAGGTTGCCGCGAGTATGTCATGAGATGCTTGGAACAGGACTTGACTTCACTCATGAGCTACCCGTAAACATATATATCAAATTCCTTGATCTTGCCCTAGAATTTGAAGATGGCCACGTCTACAGGCGATACCAAGCTCGGTCCTGGAAAGGGTTTCTTCCATTCGAATGTGGACACTTAAAGAGCGTGAAACGTGGGGTCGCCACCACGGCACTAACATCTGCCTTAAGGAAGTCATGCGAACACCAGATCCAGAAGAGTTTTGACACTCAGATATCTAGGCTACTTGATAGTGGGTATCCGGAAACACTACTGGTATCAATATGTGAAAAGATCTCCCAGAAGTTAAAGCGCGGACAGGAAGGCTTCGAGCGAACAACAAAGAAAAAGACTGGAAGTCCCATGGTGGTAGCACCATATCTCCATGGCATCACTCACCGGCTAAAAAAGATCGCAGGCCAGCAAGGGGTCCAAGTGATAAGGTCCGCGCCGAACAAGGGGTATTCAATGTGTGGCAGGGTAAACGAAAACCAACGTAGGCACCAAGAGACATGTAACATCGCACACAAAACAAAATACGCCCAATGTCAGAAAGAAGTCGTTTATAACATTCCATTAACATGTGGAAGGTGTTATATTGGGCAGACAGAGCGCTGTATTAATGATAGAACCAGGGAACATGCCACATCTCTACGAAACTTGGCAACAGCAGGACACCTTGCAGCCCATTGTCGCGCATGCCAATGCGAGGCAACGTTGTGCAACGTAAACATCGTGGGGCGACATAAAAATCAACCCGTCCGAGAGCTACTAAAAATCCTAGCCATCGAAGAAAAAGGCGAGGACTGTGTTAGTGCGCCTTCCATTGCACTACACAACTCCGAGAAGATTTTACTGCGGAGTGACATGAGTTCCAGGCAAAGGTGGAAAAGGAGGAAGATCGCTTAAAGAAGACAAAATAGAAGGGATGAGAGCATTCCGACAGCTGAAAGGTCAATGCGTTAAAGGAAAAGAAATTCCGAATTAAGTGTAAAGAAAAAGAAAACCTAAATCAAGTGTAAAGAATTAAAAAATAAGTTAGTGTAAAAAAAGAAAACCGGAATCAAGGATTAGCAGAAAAGGAAAGCGAGGCATTATTAAATGTTGCTAGTCCAGCGGTGCGAATGTTATAATGTTTCTCTCTGTGTTTTTCATGTTCAGCTCGCCCCATTCACATTCACAATCAGAGGACGAAGAGGACGAGACAGTTCTCTTGCGGCCGATGCTGCAGGCTTCCAATGGTGCTAGCAACAGTGTGAATGAGCCACAGGACTCATTTCAGCCGCCAGCTCCACTGCCCCGCATGCTAGCTCAGCTAGCATCTGGTGCAACTGAAGCTGCCAGTCGCACAGACTGCCCAGAATCCCCTTCTCATAAGTGCTGTCAAGGCTACTAAGAAACACTTGTACTATTTTGTTGCCCAGCGATTAAACTGGATTTTTGACTTATGTCAGCCTTTCAGGTGAAGGTGATGACGTCGCTGAAGTTCCTAAGGGCCAAAGTCGAGCTCCAGTCCAAGATTCTTCAGAGATTGCAAGCCCGTTTAAACCAACAGCAGGTGGCCGCTGGAGTCTGCAGAGATAATGCAGCAGCCGAGCTAAGGAAAAGGCTGCCCCTCCAGATTCACGCCGCTCTGCTGTAATTTGAGAAGCTTATCGAAACGGAGGAGGATATGGTAGCCCTTGTAAGTGGTCTAGGTTTTTAGACTCCTGTATATCCTCTTTGAAGATTTTGGTTTTCACCTTGGTGTAGTAGGTATATAGCCTAGCTGACTGTCTGGTAATAAAAGGAACTATTTTAATTTCAATGGCAGGTATGCAATCTCTGGGAAAACTCACAATGTACTCAATATCAACAAAATACAAACAAAATCATTCAGCATATGTCTTCATTTTAAAGAGTGATTTACTTAGTGCACAATATTTCTATCTTGTTCCAGATTACATCTCTAGGGCACATCAGCAGGTCCTGATTACCTGCAAACGTCCGCAACATAATGGCAGACGTGATGGCGGACTCTTAGACAGCAGAATACTTTTTGACGGAACAGAAGGGCCAAAGGTTCTTCTCGGTGTACAAGCTCTCAACCGTTCTATTATGTGAGATAATTGATTGGAGTAGTAGAGTGCGAAGAGGAATATATAAATTCTGTTATGTGTTTGTAAAGCACGATTATCATCCTCTTTCTTTCCTTTTTTTACTTCCAGAGATGTACTTTCTTCATTTTTCAGCTAATCTGTGCAGTTCAAAAATATCTGCGCCACATATTCACTTCAATCTAAGGCATGCTGGGCCCAACCATTGTATTGTCTGACGCAAACAAAATCACAATCTGCAAATCTTTTTTTTTTAAGTTTGAATGGTACTTTTGACGCCTGAGTGCTTGCATTTCAAAAGATCAAGCTACCCACGTTAATCTTTCTAACCTTAAGCCACCAATTTCTAATTAAGCCACCAACTAGTAACAGTTGTTGATATTCATGTCCGGCCATTTCAAGCTGATCTGACTAGTAACTGCCCCTAGCCAACAGTAGCCCTTTGAATCTATTCATATACAAAACGTCATGAATACCATGTCAGTAATAGTCACTCATCTTCATTCTGAAGCGATTTAAGGTGATTTTGTTAAGAAGAGACGCTAATTGCCAACAACAGTCACTCGAAGCCATGAAGTATGGAAATAGCAGAACGCTGCGACTAATTGACTTTAAAGCCACATTTTGCCAATTTAAGCAAACCAAGTCAGGAATGGATTCCTGCAGGCAATATAAGCCAATTCAGCGAAATACGTCAATAATAGATGTCTGTAGCTAATAATAGACAGATCACGTCAATCAATTCTATGAACACAACAATTCCATGAAATGTCAACAATAGCCACTGAGATTCATGTATAGCCATTTCAAGTCAATCTGACCAAGAACATCTTTCAATAGCCAATAATATCCACCTAATTATCCACAAGTAACCCCACCCCTGAAGCACCAATGACTAAGAAGTGGAAATTATAGTTGCTAATAGTTATTCATAGCAAAGTGAATGTGATCTGGTCGAGAATAGTTCCCAAAACCAATATAAGTCACTTGAAGATAATCTCACCCGTAAGAACGCGAATAACCCAATATAGTAATATTTTAGCTGATAATGACCACTTGAAGTTGATTTAACGGATAAATAGTAAAATAACTAGAAATAATGACTAATAGCTTGAAATGGGCAATTACCTACATGGGTCCATATGCAAACAAGTTTACTGATTTCACATAAACATTCCTGAAAACATCAATCAATACAAAAGTACCATACCTAAGTGTTTCTCACTTTTAAACAGTATTCATAAATCTGCATCTTGTTTACATGTTTGTTCCCGCTCCTACCATGGCTCCTTGAGTGGAGCCAATAGTATTCCCAAACAAATAAGTAACTACGTATTTTTTAACTACGGTGGAAGGGGAGAAAACAGTGGAGCACATGACTGATATCAATTTAATTTTAGGCTCCGAGATGTCCACTCCTCGCCAAGAAATGGCAACACTTCTGTGTCTTTTGCCAACACCATGTATTTTTGGTTCAGTTTCTTGTAGTACTATGAGCCGTATTTGCTCGTATCATCGTCTCTGGTCGTCGAAAAGAAGCCAACTGCTCCCGGTTTCGCGAAGCAAAGTACCTTGGTTCTACTGCTTCAACGCAGAGC